TGAACTCTTGATGTTTCTAACCAAATTGAGATCTACTTAAATGTACATTTTAATAACTTTTACAATTACTTTTGGATTATCCACTGACGTTTACAATCTTGTGAGTATTATTTACCTAAAACATAAATAACTTTATAGTAATTAGGAGACAACGTTAAGCATCCATTTTCTTTTAATTCTTACTTCCAAAGTTCTCTTCTACAATAAGACAATGGTAACTGTGGAAGTTTAGCAATTCTAAAATACTACATATCCTGAGTAGTATTGAAATTACTCAGTAAAATGTCTTCCACTGAATACTTCCCATGGGGGATATAAACACAGTTATTGTCAATGAAGATTGTTTTCCAATTTCGACTAAGGAGAGAAAAGTTTAGTTTTTCTTAACTTCACTTAAAGAATAATTTAACTTTCTGCAGAGTACACAGTACCTCCTCATTAAAATTAGTAACATAAATATATTGTAACGATTTCTGTACATCTTTATACATGCCTTTGAGACACCTGCTATGACTGTAAAGTCAGAGTGAAATACACAAGATATGTTTCCCACTATCTTACTCATCATTTCAGAGGTTTCATCAGACATAAATTTTATTATCAGTTGCCTCTTTGACAAATTCTAGTTGTAAGAAATTAACTGAGAAATTGCTCTATTATGGCTAATTATAAAATTATGTAGTATGGTTCAATGTCTTTTTGGTAACTAAATGGCAGTTTACAGAGCTAATACTGCTGTGCTCTCCAAATGAGGAAAGTCATTAAAAATATGAAATATATAAGTACTAAAACCTCCAATATGACTGTATTCACAGAAATGTTGTCAGAGCTGGAAGGAACTTGAGACCTCTCCAGTGCACCTCTAGTCTATGGTTGAGAAGCTGATCAGTTCAGTTTCAGCAAGCTAGTTGTAGCTCACTCTAGGAGCCGGGACATCCATCACCTGATTCCTAACAGAAGATGATGTGTACCACATCACACTGACTTCCTCTCTCTCTTTCTTACACACACATATACACACACACACACACTACCTTAATATAGTTCTCGTAATCTGAACAAGCACATTTTAATATAAATTTGCATGTTCTACTGTGTACTTTTTTATCAGCATTTTCTTTTGGCAGAAGAGCACCGAAATAAAGTACACTTTTAAAAAATAGCACAGGGCTTGCTGCATTATGAGTTTTCAAAAAATTTTTTTCTCCTTTGACCAATTTGACTGAATTAGATCCTAGTAAGTGTAGGAATATACCAAAATTAAACCTCGAGACTAGAACACATGGCTGCACTCACTTCATTATCTACAGACAACATTCTCCAGCCTCACCTGCCTGTTTCTTTCTTTAAATATACGGCAGGTGTACCAGTTATTCTGATTCTACATTATACAGTTCCTTTCATATTAAAATAAAGAATGGATATATTTCTTTCCTGAATTACATACCCACCAAAAACTTTTTTGGTAATAAAACACTTATAAACTTCCTCAAGTAATGTGATGCTATCTACCACTTAGTAGAAGCTAACCACGGGTTTTGCCATGGAGGAGGAGGTTACCGTGCTTTACAATACTGGTAATTGTGGCCTGATTATATTTTGCTCTCTTAAAACTCAAAAATAATATATGTGAAGTGATCAATCAAAAATGTTTTAGATGCCTTTTGGCCACAATACAGACAGTGTATTGATTTTAAACATAAACCAATAAATTGCCTCTGAGCAGTAAACAGTGGTCAGTGATACACAGCTATTAAAGTTACTAACTTCACAGAGACACCCAGATCTTACATCCAGTAAAGATTTATTAGAAAAACAGATATTGAATAATTTATGATGTTAAATCATTCAAATAAAGTTCAGGTGGAATATAAGCAAATCATTTCTCAAACAATCTGAAATACAGGTTTAAGCCTTCTATATTTTTGTCAAAATAAGAATTATCTGTAGATGGCAGGTACTGCGCCCTACTTAATGGAGGGTCTCAAATTTGACTCTGCATCTCATTGGGAAGGAAATATAAATTTTTAAAATAGAATTAACTTGGGGAAAGGCATCAGTGCTGTAACTCTTAGCACCAAATGTTTTTTCTTGGAGCACCAAATGCTTTAAGGAAAACATTCCAAGTATCAAAGTTTTCAGATAGATAAATATTTATGGATCAAATCCATAAAGAACAGACATTGTTATGAAATATATATAGATGCCTTCAAAACTTTCTTTCCAGGCAGAGTAGACACATAAGTTAGGAGTCATTTCCCACTTAATTGTCGTTGCAACCTTATGCAACACAAATGGATTACGGATAAAGACTTATTCGTTTAGACACAGATAGTAGATCTTGACTGACATTATGTCCAGAAAATTAAACAGGACCGATTCCTCTCTACAAAATATTTAAAAAATGTTATTAAACTTATAGAAATGGCTTTATTCTAACCTTTTATTTTCCTGACTAAAAGGTATAGAGGTTTTTCATTTAGTTCTTTGGTGAGAAAAGAGTACTCTTTCAAAGCAAATTCTTCTATTTGCTAGATAGCAAAATGAGAGAAAATGGCATAGATCTGGTTCGTATCATTAAGTGCAGTGAAAATCCATCTGTCTTTGAACTTTATGAATTGTACTCTTTTAGTCTACACATACAGGCCATTGCTTCTCCCTCTTCACGGAGAGCTCTTCATAGTGGTATTAGAACTGGAACCCCATTTACATTCCAATCTACAGAAAGCTATTTTTCCCTTTAAGGGCAGAGGTCTACTCCCATTGCTCATGTAGCAAAACACTAACTCAATACAAATGCCATACGATAGTAGACAAATTCCAAGTAACTACTGAAGAAACAGCCTTGGCTTCTGTACTATCTTTGGTGCTCTTAAATACCATTTATGGGTGTGCATGGATCAGAAACGAAGTGCCAATTTGAGAAAACAGCAGTAAATGCCATCCCAGATATAAAAATGTAGAACAAAGGTCTACAAGAACTCATGGGGTGTATATCAGGCTTCTAAGTCACACTTGCACACATGGATAATTACTGCAATAGTATCATTTGTGAACATAAGCGACATTTTGGAACTGAGTAGAATTCTGTCCTGAAACTAACCAGGACAATTATATATTCAACCAAACAAAACTTGAGTTTATGTGGGCTTAAAGAAAATGGTAGCAGAGGCACAGGTAAAATTTTATTTATGAATATGTAGACACATGACTTTGGATCCAGCCAGCCAGTGACATAAATAAACTTGAGCAAAAAGATTCAAGCTAGAGGATATGCATGTATACTTATATTTGTGTGTGCTTGAGTAAGGCTTCTCGGAGCAGTGCCACAGATCTGGACACCAACCAACAGAATCACTCCCGTCCTTTGAAATTTCCATTAAGAGCACAATGGGGGTAATTATACTGGGATGCTCCAAATCGCTCTTTCCATCTTGTGCACACACATGCCCGCCAAACATGAAATGCTCGCCTTCTCCCTTCCAATGTGATGGTTGTTGAACTTATTTTTAGTGTCATTTGATAAGCCTTTGTGCTCACAGAGAGACATCCCACTGACCCAGCCACTGGTCATTGTCTATACCAGTTCACATCAAAGCAGGCGCGCTTTGTCAGGTTTCGCGTCGAATATCCATTTCGCATCTGAAGTACAGTATCGAAAGTGACTAGATCATTTGAGCTTTTTTCTTCAGCTGCTGCCTTCTTCCTCCCCCACAGTGTTTCCACTCACGCTAACATAATTTGGCATCGTCGACGTGACACGATGGTGGTTTTTCTAAAAAATTATAATACATACATTTCGGTGTTTTGTGGTGGCCGATCCTCCTGAAAATTTAATTTATAAATTGATGAGAGGAGGTCTTTTTTCCTCTACTGAATCATAACCAAGGTGGAGTGCCCCTCAAAATCCAAGTAATGCGCATACAGTAATAGGTCATTCAATGTCAAAAGGCATAAAAAAGATGAGCAAAATCTTCACAGGCTGCTGCTTGCTGTTGCCTTTAATTATATTAATTAAACTTTGAAATTTTCATGCAAAGAGAGTTGCTGGCTTGTGACGCTGAAGAGCCCTTGGAGACTTGGAGGAAGGAAAAACCCTGAGCGGAAGCTTTGTGGTTACTGCTTCCTTTAAATTAAAAGCAAAACAAACTCCTGGTATGTTTACAGATATTAATGCTTTATGCACTACTAAACCCTAAACATAGAGAGAGGGGTAAATCTACCGATCCCAGAGACAAGTTCTCAAAGCACAAGTCCCTTAAACTCCATTCAAGATCTCTGCTTACAGGCTGTCTTCCTATGGAATAACGCTCTATTAATTTTCTTCTTTTCCCGGGTGCATAATGAAAGAAAGGTGTCTTCAAAAACTAAAGGGCAAAATCTTGCTTGCTACCAACACCTTGAGGCATCCTGTCTACATTTTGTCATGCGTGTGCACTTTTCAGTGTTAGAATGACAAGATTTTCCAGTCAGAAGCTTCCCGTAAGGCACATTGTGATAGGGGACTTGGGAGGATTTTGTGATCTGACATAGCTATAAGGCAATGGACTCCTTTATTTGCTTGGCCTGGTGGGATATTCCATACTCTGCCTGTGGCTAACAATCTTGCGCTGTGAAAACACAAGTGCCATGTTTCCATATAAAACACTCCTCTCTCCGTTACAGATCCATCATGGCCAGTTGTTACGTGGTCCCTGTTTTGATATCATCTTCATGCTGTCGTTTTTGCTTTTTCCTCTTCTACACTTTCAAATGCACTTTCTTGTATAAACCATAGCGTGTAGATTAACATTAGTCTTTATTTTCAATGTCATGAATCATGAGTTACTCCTGGGTTCCATCAACTCTCGTGTAGATGGCAGAACAAGTATTTAAAAATGTTTGGTGCAAGCAAAGCAGAAGGCAGAGAAAACATTTCCTGACTGAGAGGAATAAAGCTGTTCTTCCAAAAACTTCTGAAATGCATATTTTTTTCATTTGGTTGGAAATCAGCAGTGTGAAGATGTATCTTCATACCTTCTTGGTCTTCCTGTTTTCCTTTTACTGAGATGGAACTCGAGAGAAGTTTATGCACCGGCCCTAGAAAAGAAAAAAAAATCACTATTGAAATATTAAAGCAATTATAAAAAGGCATAAGAATACCTAGTTTTCCTACCATGACATAATAGACAATTACCCAAGAACACGTCAATGTTAAGATGAACCGTTAAGTCATGTTTTTTTCCCTTGGGTCAAAGCATGGTGGTGGTTCATTCAGATCTTTTCTGGAGCAAGTTCACCTACACAACCGTATGGTAAAACTAGAGTGGAAAGAACTCTATGTAAAACAGAACTATGTTATTGCTATTTAAAGTATAGCATTACTATCTTAGCAATAAAAATATCAAAGCCAAACCCTATGTTTCTTTCTATAATGGATTTAAATGAAAGTATTTCTTTATGCAATCTGGTGCTTTTAAAACTGATATAAAAATGGTGCTTCTAAAATGTATATATGAAGAATGCACTTGAGAAGTAGTAAGAGACGGAGGATAAGGAGTCAGGGAGAAAGGGAAGAGATGGCATCTCTTTCTGTTTGCATTTTAATAACAGGCTTTTGCCAAAGACAGTAGAAAACTCATCCTCTGTTGTTGACCATTTCTCTGTGTGCAACTACACACCATCATTATGTGTTCTTAACAAAGGGCGACTATTTGCATTCCACATTTTCTTTGCTTTCTTTTTTTTTCTTTTTTTTTTTTTTGAGAAAGCACCTGTGTGCACGTGCATGAGCCAGGGAGGGGCAGAAGGAGAGGAGGAGACAGCATCTCATGCAGGCTCCATGCCCGGTGCAGAGCCCAACTTAGGGCTTGATCTCATGAGAATGAGAGCATGACTGAGCAGAAATCAAGAGTCAGACACTCAACTGCCTGAGCCACCCAGGCACCACTACTTTCCACGTTTCAGAGACTGTCATCCCAATTTCTTAGCATTTCAAGGAAGGTTATGGAGACACATTGTTTCTTATGTAATTGTAAATAATCCAAGAATTATTTGAAAACAAAGTTTTAAATTATTGATAAAGGATCTCCTCTTTTGGTCTCCTGGGTACAGCCATGGTGATACTCTGTACGACATAAACCACATCCAGATTTCTCAACAGGCCAAAAGCTAAGCATACTGCTTTTTTCTAGTTTTGGGTAAAGATTATCATCTTACTGAGATTTTCCTATTTGTCATAATATCTGCTCTTTAACTTCAGATTTTAGAACTTCTCTTTACTTCTCTCTAAATGTAAATAATAAGTTTGTTTTAAATATCCAATATATGGTAAGATTCAAAAAAACAACAAATATTGTTGGAGAAGACAGCTTAGAACATAAAAACAAGATTTTGGTCCATTTTCCTCTCAAAAATGTTTGCTCAATAAATTTAGAAATTTCAGAAATTAATGAAAAAAGAGAAAGCATAAAAGCAAACTTGTTTCCATCAGCTTTTGCCTAAAAGGCAGACAGTCTTCAAAAATTATACATCTTCTAAACAATTTTGGAGGCAACATTATTACAACTGTCAATTTTATTACCTACTTTGTACCTAGTGTCTACAAATAATATCTGTGCAAATGAGAGTGGGAGAAAAGCAGAGAGAAGACCCTCTTAGAATGAGGTCAAAATTCCTTGGTCATAGGTCATGGACACAGACTGTATTTTTGTACTGTCTAGAACCTTCAAACAAGAACTTTAGGATGAATATTAAGTGAAAAGATGCTCTTCTCCAGATTAACTAAGTATGACACCAAAAGCCATGGGAACATTAAAAACATTATTTTCATTACACATCCCTTTTCTAAACATTTTTTAAGGGGGAGAGGTAGAAAAAAATGACATGATTAATAAATGTTTGAGCAAAGCAATAAAACAGTGCTTCTAAGCCATGATAGTGTAACTTCATGTGCAATAAGATATAGTTCTGAACTATGGATATTAAAACAGTGATGGACTGTTTTTTTAATAAAAATATTATCTTCTGGAGCCTTTTGGATTGTATGTCCTGTACAATGTCACTGCAGTATCTAACATAGATCCAACCTGTAATAAATATTCACTTAGAAACAAATGAATGGATGGATGACGAACATAAAAATGAATGAATACATAATAACCAGACCTCAAAAATAGGAAGACAGAAGAAACATAAATTTGAAAGAGAAAAAGGATTACAAAGGAGAAAAATACAGCAGTGGAGAAGGAGAGAAGAAAATATAGAGATACTGGAAGAGATTAGCCCTAAAAAGGGAAAAATAAAAACGATAACCAAGAAAAAAAAAAAAAAACTATTGGCCAGAAAGGAATTTTTATTCAGTATTCCATCAGGGATCTTACTCCTAGGGGAATCTGTTGACTACTCACTCTGGGAGTCACCTCCAGCTACCAACTATGCCAAAGTTTTCAATGTTCCTATAGATCACCTTGTTTACTCATCTCTGGGTTGTATTTACAGTTAACATCCTGTTTGAATCCATCTGAATGCAATTCTACTCAAGAGTGCATGGTTTGGGGCGCCTGGGTGGCTCAGTCGGTTAAACGTCTGACTTCGGCTCAGGTCATGATCTCGCAGTCCGTGAGTTCGAGCCCCGCATCAGGCTCTGTGCTGACAGCTCAGAGCCTGGAGCCTGCTTCAGATTCTCTGTCTCCCTTTCTCCCTGACCCTCCCCTGTTCATGCTCTGTCTCTCTCTGTCTCAAAAATAAATAAATGTTAAAAAAAATTAAAAAAAAAAAAGAGTGCATGGTCATGATGAAAGCCAATTATGAATACATCTTACAACCCATAGTCAGCATTTCATTTTTATGATACACATTTCTAAGAGTTTCCATGAAATGCCTGTTCAACCACTTACACACAGCCTATCTGAAGTTCTATGCATGCTGGGATTGATTATATTTAAATAATAATACAGGAAAGCTATTCAATTTTCATACCACATCGATCTTTCTAACCATATGCCTGGTATCTAGAGGTACGTATTTCTCTATTCAATGAACAACGTAGAATATTTTACCTCTGGCACTAATGGCAATAACTTTGGAATCCTGTCTCTCCAGATCAGTTGGCAAAATTATCTCCACCTGGGAGGGAACTTCTAAGTGAAATGCCAGCCATGTATTTCTCTGTCAGGTTTTATACTGTAGTCCATGTAGTCCATTGTAGGTGCCTCAGAGGTACCATGGCTGGCACGGTGCACAAGAAGGGAATGAGGTGGCACACTGCAAGCCCCTCAATCCTCATTTGGCTCAAGGAAGTCCATCTCACCTACCTTTAAAATTGCAATTCACTACAAGATTTTGTTTCTATTTGTATTAAAATGAAATTTGATAACTATTATTCAATATATTCATGCTTATGTTAAGGCAGGTCACCAATAAGCTACTTATATATCTGGACTTTGGTTTCTTTATTCTTCTTTAGACATGCCTTCCTAGATCTATGACACCATTACAGCATTATTCCCTTGACTTTTGGTCATAGGAACAGCCCAGATGACTTCTGGTCATATAAAGAGAATTTTATATTTTGGAAAATTGCTATTGAGAACACAGATATTAAGGGATCAATTCTTGAAATTAAGAGCTAACTAGGATTAAAGCTTGTCACTTCTGGTAAGTTTATGTGCTACCCTTACATAATGGCAACTATATAACTCAGCCTTTCTGTTTGTAATTTGGCTTTCAAAAAATGCAGGCACATGATGTTCTAGAAGCTATGACGGCCCTTAGCGTTCATTTTCTAGTGTGACTATATAGTGTGACTTTCTAGTGTCCATATAGTGTGACTATATTTTTATTCTGTAGTTTGATGGTATGTTTTTTTCTTATGATTTCTTTATAAGTAGACCAGGTATAAGTAAATTTAAACTAATATGTATTTCTTTCTTAATTCTCAACTTTCATACACATAAAGATTCCATATTCAGGTAAACCTTCAAAACCCTCCAACAAATGAATTGCCTCAACCTCTATCTTATACCAAAAGACAATATCATGTTTACTTCCCTTCTTTGTTGCTTTTTCTTATTCTGGTGGGACCTAATGAAGTATTCTGCAGACAGTTGATGTCAAATGATTATTAATTTGAACTTAATCTTAGTTAACTTAGATAATTAATATGAACTTGAAGTTTATACTTGTAATCATATTAAAACTATACTATTCTTCATAAAATCCCAAAAGTTCTACAAGAATAAATATCCTAGGTCTAAAGATTGAAAGCTTAACTTTGTTTTCTTTGGCTTCTAAAAAAATAAGCACAATATGATTCTTTATAAACTTGAAATACATTAACATCTCAACTCATCTATTAGAATAGAACTCTATGCAGAAGATTTACTGCATTATCCACTTTCCGTCCACCTGAGAAGGAACAGAATGTACCAAGGATAAATCACATATAAAACTCTAAAGTCACAAAGTCTAAATTCACAATTAGAATCTGTCATCTTTAACATCACTTAAGTGATTTTCAGGCATTTAACAAGTATCTATTAGAGTAAGAATTTCATTGACATTTCTCCAGAAATCCTTGTTGGAAATATCTTCTTTTGGGTCTCTTAATAAGTGGGAAAGGGAAATTGATGCCCCAAATAAAAATATCTGGTGTTGTTACTGCTCTACAGTTAAGTAAACCAAGAGATGAAAACAAGATAATAGTCGAAACTGACATATTTGCTGTTGGTTAAGTATATAGACCCTAACTCTTTTGCAATATTTGAAAACTGATTTCACCTATTCATTTTCACTGTAGCCAGTAAGAGTAGCGTTAGCCAGAGCAAGTGCCATGTTTCCCATCTTTTTCAGCATTAAAATTCTGCTGGCATTAATGCTAGTGAACTCCTTTACTAGCTATCTGCACAGGATATATTTCACTGCTATAACTGTTATAGTATTATGCTCACCTCATAAATATCCATTGACAAGCTGAAGCATACAACTGCACTTTAGTTTAGACTTTTCAAACACAGATAGCTGATTTATTTATATCTCCACTTCTAAATGTACTAAACCTTCGTGCTTTGTGCAACAGTAAACAGTGATTCAAATTTAAA